CGTCTTGTTTCACGAAAAAGTAACAGAATCTCTTCAGATATATCGAATATACTGTCGGATTTTTGCTGGCCATAATTTTTATGCCAAAAACACACCCTTTGGTTGATATTAAGCTTTAAATTTATTGCCCATGGCTGAAATATACCAAAAATACCAAGGCTGCTGTGGCACTTAGCGTAGATATTCCATACTGGTGATATTACTGTGATGTTGCCGTAACCAAATGCAACTTTGCCGAGCCGTTGGATACTGAGTTGCATACCTTCAGTTAGTTCCTCAGTTTGGTCGATGTATGCTCAGTACTGTTTGGGAGACCACTTCAGTGGTCATCAAATTTTTCGCGGACAGCATTTACTAATGCGCGACTGACACCCAAAGCAAGCCACATGCTTTTCCCATCGAATTTTGCTTTCCCGCATGCTGATAGTGATATTCTGCTCGTCACTCATCTTGTGATATTCTGCTTGTCACTCATTTATATAGGCTGAAACATACCAAAAATATCAAGGTTGCTGGGGCACTTAGCGTAGATATCCCATGCTGGTGATATTACTGTGATGTTGCCGTAACCAGACGCAGCTGTGCCGAGCCGTTGGATACTGAGTTGTGTACCTTCAGTTAGTTCCTCAGACTGGTCGATGTATGCTCAGTACTGTTTGGGAGACCACTTCAGTGGTCATTTGATTTTTCGCGGACAGCATTCACCAATGCGCGATTGACATCCAAAGCAAGCCACATGCTTTTCCCATCGAATTTTGCTTTTCCGCATGCTGATAGTGATATTCTGCTCATCTGAACGTCCGCTTTGATTGTCACGAAGATCTGCTCCATTGCTGATTACGCTGTGGCCAGCGTTTGCTGTTCAACTTTGTTCAGCGATCACGTTTCGCATCAACATAATGGTATTGAAAAAGAGGAATGCTCGCATTTTTACCAATTTCTGCATATTCCTCTCATCTCTCTGCCTGTATAAGCCTTTACGAAAGCAATTTAGGTTCAATGAATTATGCACAGTGTAGTCGAAATAGATTTCAAAAATCTCTATATCTTTAAAAATTGGGCCAAATAAGAATAAATGAAAATTGTCTAAATGAGAAAAAGAACTGCGTTATGAGAACAAATAAAAATTGCCTTCTGAAATAGTAATTTAACAAGAACAATCCATTATTCGTGACTCGTGAGAGGAAGGCTCAGCAAATATTCTGCAGCCATTTTGGTGGCTAAACTCCTTTATAGTTTTAGGATCCCGGGAACATCGATTCTGCCATATCCTGGTTCGCCGATTAAAGCACGACAAAATATGGTCGGCATGTTTTCGGTGCGCTCCATCTGGCCAACCGATGAAGAACGGAAAGCCGCTGTTAGTGAGCTGTACAATTTCAAAACATTGCGTAAACGGAAATGGCTCCAGGATGTGCTTCTTGAGGAATCAGATTCGGATTCGGATGGCGAGTTCCCGTTCACTCTACCTGATTTGCACACCATTGTGAAGGTTTTCTTTTTTTCTTATTTCCGACATTTAAAAAACCTTCAATGTAATAGCCCGTTTTTTTAATTTCTTGGTAATTTGCGCAGCTTCAGTGATCTGGACCGGTAGATGGTTCTTTTTCCAGGACAGAAATTTTTTTTGTCTGTTCTCACGTTGCTGCTGTTAGTCAGTGCGCAGTATTTCAAAGTACCATGGATTTCTTTGCATGCTGTGCTGCACCAAACCTAACGCTAATGATTTCGATTGCTTTCTTGTCTTTTCAGTTATTCAAAAAAACTGGATATTTCCAAAAAAGCGGGCTAAGCAGAACTAGAGACTTTAAAAATTGCCCCGGAGTCTGTATGGGCTAAGGCGTCAATCACACCAGGATGTACCTCGCAGTCGATTAAAACATTTAAATATTCTGATATCGAAGGCATTTGAAGCCAAGTTTTTGTGGTTGCCACCGCCACCAATAGTTTTTGTTTCTGATTTCCTTTAATTTCGATAAAAAGGCGTTCATTAATAATTTTTTACAAAAACTTCCTTATTTCTCCAAGTTTT